AGAGAGAGAGAGAGAGAGAGAGAGAGAGAGAGAGAGAGAGAGAGAGAGAGAGAGAGAGAGAGAGAGAGAGAGAGAGAGAGAGAGAGAGCGATTGATATGAGACAATATCAGCACTCGAAGTGCGACGAGCTCAAGCACAACAATTTAAAAACAAAAGCGTAGTGCATTATGCACTTTCGAACTCCAAATTCAATTCAATTGAACGACGGGAAAACCCGTCTCGAAACACCAGGCACCTAACACACAGAAAGGCGGGCGACCGATGTGCCCGATTGTCCTAGAACACCACTAGAGATCCCACCAACAGCAGCAATCGAAGACGACACCTTGGTGACGGAGCCGACTACAACGGGATGTACTATCCACCGAGTGCTACATTCAACGGCGCCACTGCTACGTAACCAAATGCCAACAAAGTCTACCGCTCGCGAATAGCCTTTGCTATCTCCAACAACGCATGGCACATGAGTTCGCTGACTTCATCTGACGCGGCGTAGTGCTCCTTCTGCACCTGCACTTCATCTTCTAATGCCTCACATTGTCGCAGCTGAATGTTGCATTGCCGCTTGCTGGCACTCTCCATCGTGGCCGCCATCAACGCACCGTGCTTGTCCAAGCAGTCGGTCATTGCCTCGAACGTCTGCTGCCGCACGCTCTTCCGCTTTCCGAACCCACCAGGGGAGGGCGACGTCTGGGAAGAATCACGAGTCGATCCCTCCTCCTCTTCTTCCCCCCGCGCACCCCCGTCGGCATCGCCAACTGCCTCAGGATCACCATTCCACGGCGACGGCAAGCGCACACCGCCGCGGGCACCAGTGTCTGGAACGTTCTTCGGGTTGATGGTTTCGTTGAAACCGGTGGACCCTTCAATTTCGTCGTAAACGGCTCGATCCATGTTGAAATTGAAGTCGTTGCTCGCCCTCTCCTTCGAGCTCAACTGGAAGAAGTCCATTCCCCCGGACGGCTGCTGGAAACGATGAACTTTCTTGAATTGTTGCATGAGGGTGTCCCATTTCTTGCTGCATTTCTCCGCCTTCCTGTCGACACCAACGTTCTTCAATCGTCTGGCGACGTCATTCCATTTCCACTCCCTCGGCTTCATACGGGCGTAGGTGTGCCCCATCCCCTGCATGTGCGCATCCTGATCGCGTTTTTCCCGTATGAGCGCGATGATATGGTCGACACTCCAAAAATTGCGCTTTTCCTCTGCTTCGTCGTCGCCTTCTTCGTCGTTCGGCTGTGATTGTGCTTTTTTCGGCCGCCCACGACCTCTCTCGGCCGCCGCCTTCGTCTCGCCGGCCTTCCCACCCTTGTCGCTGTTCTGCGACGGGGACGCTTAGTTGCCATTCCCCTCCCCGTCGTCCCCCGCGTTGTCGTCGTCGTCTTCTTCGGACAGAAGCCCCACATGTGGCTCCTGGACTTCTTCTTCTGGCCTGTCCATCCTCAGACGCTCCGCCCCCCGCCTGATCGCCTCCTCTCGACCCTCCTTGAGCAGCCGTCGTTGCTCCGCCCACACGACCCTCCAGTCGCGGTCGTCAACGAAGTCCTCGAAGTTTCCCCCGCCATCGTCGGGAATGCGACGTCGACGACCCTGGTTGGACGTAGCAGACACCGGGGACGGTGATTGCAAGAACGACGGACGACCTTGTGTGCTCCTTGAGATGGAAGTCGCTCGTCCCTGCCACTGCTGGATTTCAACGACGGGTCCACAACGGTTAACCAGCCGCCGTCGTCTCCTGGATGGGGATTAACGATCATTGTGCGCGTCTGGCTTCCACACCTCCCTGTAGAGTGACCGGAAGAGACGTTCACTCCGCCATGTCCTTCTTCCCCGTCGATACCCGGCTGCAGCAGGTCAGTGAAGGACTGGCCGATGACGCCGGCGCTGCCACCGCACAGCTCCGCCCAAGACCATTCTTGCGTAGATCCGTTACCCAATGGAGTAGTGCGTGCCCGTTCTCCCTCTCCTCCTCATCAGATGAGTCTGGGAGGGGTTGCAAATGAGGCGGCAATGCAGAATTGTCGACCCCCAACGACAACCTACAAATCGAAGACGAACTTCCGACACCGCTGCTCACTACCTGCTCCCCTCCTCCCCTGGCGGACCCCTGTCCTGTTTCCGTCCTCACCGCCTTCATCGGGGAAGTTCGTCCACGTCGACGCCGGGGCGTTCCCGAGGAAACACAGGTGCAACACTGCGACGACGACCAGCAGAAAGACGACGAGAAGCAGCAAGGGCAGCTTGCAAAACACGTCAGCCATGCGACGGACGACGGCAACGACACTACACGGAAGAGGAGACGGGCGACAACATAACGGCGACGTCCTGCTGAAGGCGACACGCGCTTGGCGACAAACGGAGCCCGTTGTCTTGTCGACGCGCTGTGCCGCCTCAAATATTTGCATTTGCCGACCGTTGGGCGTTTTCCCGCCCGACGGTCGGCAGTCCAACCCGAAGGTGCAGCGGTGTACACGTTGGGGATGCAACCGGCCCGCTAACGGTTACAGTTGGTGTCGACATCGGGTCGCTTGAACGTTGGCAACCGGACATGTCCGTGCGCAAGCCGGCCGGACCACCGATGGACCAGAGGCCGCCGGCGCGAGAAGTCGACTGACGTGCCGTCGAAGACCCGGTTCTTCGTGATGGGGGAGCTCCGAGGATCCTAGGGGAGGTTCCTTGGGAAAAAAAAAAAATTGCCTGTAGCCCAAGGAATCCCCGAGGAATGCCCGAGGAAATGTTTTCACATTTTTTTTTCAAATTCTTCCCTGAGGATAAGTGGAACGGCGATTTCCTTGGGGGATTTCGGCGCCCGAGGAGTGTCGAACCAGCCCCGTAGGAGTTGATAGAAGGTGGTAAAAGGTGGTAGGAAGGTAATGATTAGTAGTGAAGCTATGCAGAAGCTAAACCGGCTGACTCTGCCCGGATAACTCCGGGTTGAATTGTGAGGTCCCCGGCCTCAGGCAACCTTTCCCTCTAATGAATCTGAATGAGTTAAAAAAAAAAAAAAAAAATCCGTCTGCAAAAAAAAATAAAAATAAATAAAAATAAAAAAATCCGTCCGCATATTTTGCGGATTTGGGCCTCCCTGCACTACTCTCCAAATGTGCAAAATGAGAATGAATCTTGTGCTAGAACATGGAAAGATGCGCCGCCATAATTTTTGTCTTTTGTGCATGTGGAGAGTAGTGCAGCGAGCCCTTCGGGGTCGCATATTTTCCGGATTTGGAGTCGAACCCTGAATCGACTACGGTAGGCCGGGGCGTGGTCCCACTAGCAATAGTGGATTGGATTGAACGCCTGAATCTGGACGACTTCCGAAAAGGTGCGAAATTCGAGATTGGACTGCTTTCCTGCATCTGTGCATAAAACACGACCAGATTCAGGAGATTAACCCAATCCTCTTTGCCGGTGGGACCTCGCCCCCGGCTCACAGCCAACGCGCTCGTAGGTTCACCTGTGAGAGGCAAGGCATACACACGCGACCGAGCAGAGAGGCATACTGCGGCGCATAGTTTCCACTTTTTTTTTTTTTTTTTGGACCATTTCTCGATTTATGCGTGTCATCCATGCTAATCTTCATTCTCTGTATCATTCCAATCTTAACGGATGTCCCCAAGGACCGTTTCCACTTTTCAAATCTCGTAAAACCTTCTAATCCAACCGACGATTGGAAAAAAAATGGCGGGAAGACCGACGTCTAAACAGCGTGCAGTTCGACTTGGCGGCGGGAGATGTGTCCGTGCTACCTAAGCGCGAGCGAGGGGAGGCAGGGGGCTTGCGTTGCTGCCACCTCGTTTCTAATCTCGTAAATGCCGAGGTAAGGCACACGGCCACGGCGGATCACCTTGGCGTGTAACCGCGGGTGCAGCGCATCGCTTCCAAATTTCCAATCTCGTAAATCTTCTAGTCCGACGGACGATTAGAAAAAATATGGCGGGAAGGCCGACCTCTCAAGCGCGCAGATTGAGCGAGAGGCTGCGGCTATCCTTCCTCTCCCCCCCCGGTTCGACCGCGCTACCCAGAGGGCGAGTGAGTGGAGGCGGGGGCTGCGTTGCTGCGGCCTCGTTTCTAATCTCGTAATTGCCAGGACAAGGCACACCGATCACTATGGCCTTCAATCGCGGGACCATCATGGCGTTCAATCGCGGGCGCGGGCGCGGGCGCGGGCGCGTGTAGGTGCTGAATCCTCCCGCCATCTCGGCAAATTCAGGCGCGATGGAATCTGTATGCGCATTTTCACCTACGCTGTATGAAATGCAACTTACGAAATGAAATCTACCAAGCAGATTCTCGGTGATCCCGGTGGCGAAAGAGCGGGGTAGAGAGACAACTCTCCCTCAGGCTGCCGGTCAGTTTCTAATCGCCCCTTCGCGCCGCTTCTCCGGAGGGCAGACGATGGGCGGGGGGATCGTCGCTGGAAACCCTTGGCGCCGCCGATGGCCAATGTTAGTTTGCTGCCAATGCGAAAAAGGTGCCAGTGATTGCAGAGGGAGAGCACCAGGTCGCGACGTGGTGACAGAGACAGCACAAGGTCCGAGCGTGGGCGGGAGAGGAGGAGGAGGAGGAGGAGGAGGAGACAGCAAGGCCAGCTAATATGGCGTTGGCGCCGCCGACTCAGCGAAACACGACAGCTAGGACGGTCAATTATTGTCCGCATTCCCGTGTTTATGCCGTGAACCGAAACTTTCTCCCTCTGTTTGCACCGAGGAGCTGCTAACATTGTCGCTTGCCATCTTGTCGAAACCCGCTACTCCGTCTCATGTCCTGTCTCCTAGTCGTGTGGGTGTCCTGGTGACAGTGTAAGGGCCTCGCTTCATGTGCAACATGAGAATCAATCTTCCACTAGAAACATGGGAAGATACACCGCCATATTTTTTGTCTTTTCTGCATCTGGTGAGTAGTGGAGCGAGGCCCTAACACACACAC